GTCTGTGTTTCCTAACTTCAACTACTTATATTTTGTATTTAGTAATAAGTATCTCTGAACTGTGACTGGTGGGTACCTTGTTAAAGAGTAGTTTGGTGAGGTAGTCTAAATAATTCCCCTGAAATTATATTCACCTCCTAATCCCCAGAATCTGCGAATGTTACCATATTTGGCCAAAAATAACTGCAATGTGATGAAATTGAGGATATTGAGATTATCCTGGATTATATAGACAGATCATAAATGCAATCCAATGTGTGTTTATAATAGGAAGACAAAAAAGGAGAAGGCACTTTGACCACTGAGGCAGAGATTAAAGTAATGTGTCCACAAACCAAGAAATATGACAACCCTAGATGCTGGAAGAAGCAAGGAACAGATTCTTTCCTAGAGCCTCTGAGGAAGTTTGACCCTGCCAAAACCTTAATTTGGGCCAAGTGAGATGGATTTTGGATTTCTGGCCTATAGATCTGTGAGATAATAAACTTCTGTTTTTTTTTATTTATTTTTTTTGTTAATTTGTTACAGCAACCACAGGAAACTAATATACCCATGACAAGTTACTTGGCATTTCTACCAAAAGATAGTTACTGTCGTATCTCATTTCTCAGTTTTATGCTTAGAAATAGAGGGGAAGAAACTTGGAGGGGCATGTAATTTATTAAGTATTTGGTGCCTGCTGTGAAGGCAAGCTATCAGAATTAAACAAGACAACAAACATCAGGCCACATGGTGCACCAACTGATAGGAAGGGAATAGAAACAGGTATCTAGGAACTGGTGGGTATTTGGAAGTGCAAGCAGGTAGGCAAAGTTCACCAGAAGTTTGCAAGGTCTTATTCACAGGGGTTCAGAGACAAATTCAGGACCATTCAGCTGTAAGCAATTTCTAGTAATAGAGACTTAAACACAATAAAGCAAAAAAAGAAGAAAGAAACAGGAAATAGGGAATAAGGGGAAGGCCATTTGTACTTAAGTTATAGAAAACAGAGGCAAAAACTTCATTCTACAACTCAATAAACACGAGATAGTGAGTAAGTCATTGAGCTCAGATAAATGTCAGTATTCTCAGTTTTAAATGGGATTATATCTATCATGTTGGATTATTCTAAGTAAAATTTTAGTATAATATATTAAGTATAATATTTGGTTCACAGTAGAGAAACACATGATATCAATTTTTTAAGAGGAGAAGCACAAGTAGAGGGTTTAAGTGATCAAGGTCACTTTAAGTGATTAAGTTTTAGCATTATGTTATAGAATCCTGAGATGACAGATCTTAAATCCTCCAGCCTAAGATCAGATCAATTTTGAGTGGTACTACTAGAGAGAGAAGTAACACAGATAATAAACTGCAAGGGACTGTCACTTATCTCATCAACAGTGATTAAAAGGGCTAGTTAATTAGTTAATAGTTCCTGTTTAAAAATTGCCAAGTATTCTTAGGAATCTCATATATACATATCATAATCATTTAATCTTTACAACAACTCTATTATCTCCATTTTATAGTTGAGGAAATAAAAGCAACAAAAGATTAATTAACTTGTCCAAAGTCACATAGGCAGTAGTCACTATATTGGATCCTAACCCAGATTGGTTAATTCAAGACCTTTCTAAGAGTAGAAGAAAATACAGTGGCATCTTTCTTTGTCAAAATCACACACTGTGCTCTTGGCCTATTTATTGAAAAAGCTTGTCTGAGTGCTTACCATGGGACAGGAAAATGGCCTTTAACAATCATGACTGGGACATTTTATTTATGACAAATATCACTCATCCCCATAACTGCTTACAGAGTATACTATATATATATAATTTTTTACTATATATGTAAATGAAGCAACATATACATATGTATATGTATATATCCTTTTTACATATTTGTGCACATAGTTGTTTATACCTACAAGGATGCCCAGGCCGTTGACTGCTGGAGAAGACTGACCACATTTCTTATCATTTAACATATTTCTGTTATGTTACATTTGACAACAGGCAACCATTCATCTGAAATACTCATAGACTGTGATCTCTAGACTGCCCTATTCATATCTATCTCGACAATGATTAGTTTTTCCAGGTTAGACAGGAATATATTCTAAAATGCTTGGCTTTAAATACAAATGAACTCTGCGCGATCATTTTGGACTATACAATCTTTCATCAGAAACAATCATCTTGGAATGGATTCACCTCAGACTAACTTCTACCAGAGCAAATTGCTCAGTGACCACAAGTCCTCCAGCATGGAGAACTCATTCTGCCTGCTCACAGGGGCCATTTATACCAATAGCAATTTGGCGAACTGCATCTTTGTAACCCAGGAGAAGTTAAATTATGGTTGTAAGTTTCTTCTAAGCAAACAATATCCCACTGTATTATTTTATTAATTCAATATAAGGCTACAAGTATATATATTATTCTGATCCTATTTATACAATAAATTAGTACCTCTTTTATGTAGAAAAAAACAAGGTTAACTCAAAAGTAAACACTAGGAATATGTCAGAGCTTGTATCTTAAAACCAGAAGAAGTACTCATTGCCAGATTAAGAATTAAAGGGTTTACCCGTCAGTTCTAGGAAATGGTTGCATTTTTGCTAATGAAAACATCAAACAAAATAAACAGGGACAAAACAGAAACAAGTTACCTTGACTTCCTGAATTAAAATTAGTTAGGTAATGTGAATGACTACAAAAGTGTCTATGAAAATGAGGCAGAATTGAAACTGATTCTTTGACACTTTAAAGATGAATTAGGTAGCATATTTATAGGGAATTATTTTAGAAATGTATGTTCTCTGGGATTACAAATTCTTCGGTTACCTGCATCCCACTTAATGAGTAAACCATGTGGCTGTAGACTTACAGGCTTTCCCGATGACTTCACACTCCTAAAACCCTTTGGAACGCTATTTGAATGCATTGAAGGAGGAAAAAAGATAATATGATGTGATCTAGCTTCTATCATTACCAAAAATTTTATCTCCACCCAAAATACAGCAACTTCAGCATAACGGATCTCTTAGCCAGATATTTGCTGGCTTGTCTACAATCATCACAGGCTATTATTACCTTGGATACAGTATTTCTTTTCTTATAAAAGTTCAAAATGCTTTGATAACAATTTAGATTCCTAACTACTATATATAACCATATGGATATGGAATGTAGCATACAGAAAATATATATATATGTATATATATATATATGAAAGGTTATAAACCATATTTATTTTCACTAATCTATTTGGGAAGAAAAAACCAATCATTATTCTACCCACCAAGGAAATTAAGGAATAAAGTGAATTTTTTGTCATTCATATTCACAAAGAAAAATTGTGGAAAAAAGAAGTGATCTCTGAAGCCCATTTCAGTGTTGAACAGCTGAAGATCCATTTTCTCTGTCTTGAGAAATATTCATTTTCCCAAAATATATTTGGTCTATTCAGGAAATACATTTGGGTACTAATCTCTAGCCCAGCCTTCAAGAAATTTATTTTAAACTTCAGCAAAATTCACTGTCTTAATTATGCAAGACTTGCTAGTTCAATAAAGCTGCTCTCCAGCTCACTGCTCATGGTCTCTAGTAGCAGGGTTCTAACAGCACCAGGTCCGAAATAAAAATGGTGCCATCTGCATCACCATATCTATTGCAGTGGCAATGCTATTAAATTAATAGTAAATTATACGAGATAAAACAGCGAAGACCCCAGTCATGTGCAACCAGGTGAGTTTCTGTTTAGCCTCCAGCAGATCAAAACACATAGCCAGTTCAGTCCTGGCTAGCTTAGTCAAGTCTTACCCAAGAGCTGTGTCCAATTTCCCTGACCAAAAGCATTAAGAACCCAAATGGAAAGGGAACAGAAAGAAGACATTAGTTCCCCAGGTACACATATAAATAGGTTTCAGCTGAGTAAGTAGCATGTCCCTGATTGTGTAAGGATTGGCTGACCAATCTGCAATGAATTAAAACATTAGGATTAAAAACATAACATCTGCAGAATAGTTTTGAGCTCCTCACACAAAGGAAGTACATGAAGTATATATAAAAAAATGGCATTTTAATATAGATTCACATATTGGTATAATTAAAGGTTAATTAGAACTATCATTTGAAATGTTACTATTTGCAACTTTGTTATTTACTGCAGCTAATTTTGCTTTGGCCCATTTTTGACATAGTAAATATTAGACAATATTCAATTTTTATCCCAGGGAAATTATTTTATTTCCATCTGTATCACACAAAGATAGTATTACGAGATTTTTATTCTTTCCCTGGCTCACCCAAAACCATGTAAGACTGACCATTGGGGAAACAGAATATTTTGAGATACATCCCTTTGAAAATTTTTGCTTCCTCTAAGTTTCTTTAAAGTTTTATGACTATGTGGGCCACTTCTGGAAAAGTGATGTTGTAAGATGAACAAGATAATGCTGGCCATTATTAATAAGCTTCTAACGCAAGATTGCAGTTACTGGATTTAGTTCAGTTGAAAGAGATATTAATCATGATGTTGTCACTGTCCATCTACCCCTTGAGGCTGTCTAAGAAACTGTGGGGCCTTAGCAGTCTTCAATGAAGCAATATAATGACTGCATTTCTATGCCAGAGATGTCAAACATACTTCATGGCATAAAAAGCCCAAGCTGAAAAAAATGAAGCTCTGACTTATTAGAGTAACTCATTAAAAGAAGAAAAAGATTTTGCTTGTAAATCAAGGCATGTATTTGTGGTACTCTTAATAAGTAAAAACCAGTTGTAAATAACAAAAATTGTCACACATTCTGAAGTTAACTTTGACTCCAATCATTAAATATTATTTATACACTTATATCTGAGGTTAACTGAGAAGTAAGATACTAATTTAAACACTATCAAAAATGTTAAGATAAAAGAACACACTAAACATGAAAATTTTCCTTTCTTCTGTGTGCATATACAAAATATATATCTTGAATAAAAATAAAAATAAACACAAAATTAAAAATTTACCTTTGGTTGGTATTTTCTTCTCAGGTTTCTCCTGCTTTTCAGTCTTTTCTTTGTGTATTTCTAGGGAAAAACAGAATTCTTAATTTAAAAACTATTTTTGAAAATGTTCAAGATATAAAGATACAAACCATAGCCATGACCTAAACTTTATACATGAAGTCTTAACTATTATATCTAACAAGTTTATAGGTGTTTAAAAAGAGTCTTTGTAAAATATTGCTATATAAATCTCTCATTTACTGAAATAAGAAAAAATGGAATTACCTCAAAATTAGAGTTATTTGAAAAAGCTTACAATCTTATGTGAATGGAGATGTGTTGTCACGTTTTTAGTGCTAGAATTGATCACAAACTATAATTATGTTTTATTTCAATTACTCTCAATACAAATTAAGAAACCTCAGTAAGAATGTCATTTACATTTAGGATGATTTAATTTTTACATATTAAATTAAGAATTTGTGAAATGAACTGTAACAACTATCTAATAGGAAATATATCTCAGAAGTGGTGACTCTAAGCTATGTTTATCATCAGAATTTGGCATTGCATTTAACCAATAATTACTGCATGCAGATATGATACATTTCATAGAATAAGTTAGTTGTTACATTTTATCAAAATATCATTTTAATAAATATATTCAGTTTGCTGCTAGCTTCAATGTACATACACTGCCAAGACTTAGAATATGAAGTTAATTCTGAATTTTTCAGTTAATTTGGAAAGAAGTAAATTTGAGGTTAGAGTTTACAAATATGATGACTACCTCTGAAAAGTGACTTAATCTTGAAGACCATGTTTTTTTCTTAGGAAAAATGCTAATGAGGTTCACTTATTTATTTATCACAACTTTATTCCACAGATGGTCTGAGATGGTGCTAATTACTGTACACATTTTCAGTTCTCCATTTGTAAACTTGTATTTGCATTTTTGTAATTTTTGTAGAAGTCTAAAGTCAAGATCAATGATAGGGAAATCCTAATATCTTCAGAAAAGACAGTGAGTTTCATTTAGCTGTTAGGAGGTAATTGCCACTGTGATTTCCTTTCCTTATTTTCCCTATTAATCCATCATCATAGTGTTTACAGACCACTCCTCTACCCTTATCCCATTCCTGACTTGGAATATGGAAATGGAGATACAAAAGAGTTAAGATACCCAAACACATCTATGGAAAAAATTCTCCAAGGCATAAGGAAAGATTTCCAAAGGGCATAGGAAACTCCCTTCATCGTCCTCTCACACCATTTTTTAAATTTCTTCCCTTTATACCTCCAAATCCTACTTCAAAGCAGGGTTTCTTGTTCTAGCAATATTGACTTTTTTCGGTTGAATCATTATTTGGGGGTGGAGTGGGCTATTCTGTGCTTTCTATAGTATTCAGCAGCATCCCTGGCCTCTTTCTATTAGATGTCTGTAACTCCATTTCCAGTCATGGCTATGAAAAATGCCTTTTGACATTTGCCAAATGTCCCCCTACCTCTTTAGGGCAAAATGAGTCCTAAAGAACAGCTCAGAACTGTCTGTCTTTTGCTTACCCTGTGCTCTTGGGTTCAACAGTATTTTGACAACTAGGTAACAAGAATAACGTTGCTGCAATCTCTCATAGAGAGCTATACATGTGGAAAATTTTGATCAGTTTCTACAGAAATGTATCCTGTTTATAAAGGCACAATAAAGTTTCATCTTATAGACTATAAGCAATAAAACTAATGATACATTTTATTTAACACACACACACACATTCAAAGAATTTGTATCTTTAGAACTGCTCTAAAGGTACAAGATAATCAGCCTATTCACACTCTGTCACTATGGTGACCTACACTGTCCAGTGCAATAGCCACCAGATGCATGTGCATATGGAGGTGTTGATATGTTGGTTAGTCCAAATTGAGAGGTACTGTAAGTGTAAATTCATACTGGATTATGAAGGCTTAATGTAGAAAAGAATACAAAATATCTCATTAATGATTTTTATATTAATCACATACTGGAATAATATTATTTTGGATGTATTTATTGAGTGTGAAGGTTTTATTTATGTGTCAACTTGGCTATCCCACATCATTCAAATGAACACTAATCTAGCAGTTCCTTGGAAGGTATTTTTCAATATAATTAAAATCCCCAATCAATTGACTTTAACAATATCATTCTGGATCATCTGGTTGGGCTTGTCTGATTCCATTGGAAGGCCATAATCATGCCTGAGTTTTCCCAGGGCAAAAGAAGAAATTCTGCCTGTGGACAACAGCTTTGGTCCTTGCCCCTGGGTCCAAGTTTGCCCACGATCTTCCCTTCCTGACCACCTGTCCTACTGGGTCCAACTTGCTTAGCCAGTCCCCGCAACCACACAGGCCAAACACTTGTAATACTTTTGTTAATATATACATATATCTGCATAATCTACTATTGGCTCTGCTTCTCTGGTTGAGCCCTGATTGATACCTAGATTAGATTAATTAAAATGTTATTTTGATAAATCATTCATTTTAATTTTCTTATTCTTTTTTTACTTTTTTAATGGGGTTACTAAACATTTTTAAATTATGTGGTTCACAATATATTATTATTGGATAGTGCTGGTCTAATCCTAGGAGTAGGCTTTTTTAAATGACTTTGGATGATATTTTTTTAAACCTTAGCACATTGACAGGATTAAATATTTTATAAGTGAATTTAAAAACAAACTCAAAATATAATATTGTGTATCTACTTTATTCCAATAAAAAAATTTTAAAAAGAAAAAAAAACAAACAAAATTCTCCCTTGCCAATAGTGTCCTGCTTCCTCCCTCTTTTGATTATTAACACATGCTTATATATTTACTATATTTTATATGCAGAAATAATTAAATTTTGGCATTTGTTATACATATTTATGCTAGACATCTGAAAGAACAAGCGTAGATTTTAGTGATCCTCTTAGTAGCCCAACTTGGGACTTGCAGAAATTTCTTGGGAAATTTCTGGTTCTCATAGTGGGTGTCCCATGTCCCACTGAACCATATGATTTCTCAATAGATGAAATCTTTTAAAATCTGCTTCAAGTTAGAAGTGAAGATTCATTTCATTGGCTTGGTTCTTCTTTCCTTTTCTTCCAGCTGTTTAATTCTATGAACATGTATTCATCTAAGCTGTCTCCCACGGCGCTAATAGTAATCATGGGTCAACAGATTTTTCCAAGATTCTCTGAGCTTAACTTCTGCATGTAACTAGGGAGAAGGCCACGGGCACTAAAAATGGGAAGACTGCTAGAAGCAGCAATCAATGGGACCTAAATTAGTGAAAATAGATTGTGCTAATGACTGCAAAGAATGAGCTTACTTTGTAGTGAAGTCTTTCTGAGTTATTTTGTTATGCTACATGTATTTTGCTTATGATAGTTTTTACCACTTATACCAAGCTTACTTTTGAATAATTTATAATTTTAAGACTTACATGGCCAGTTTAAATTAGCATACTTTTTTCTCTATCAATATGAAACACTCTTAATAAATTAAAAATATCAATTCAAGATTTTTTAACTGATAGACTTAAGAAGTTAAAAGGATCATCTCTGTCACCAAGGCAACCATCCTGATTCTTTTGGATAACAATGCAGTTTATTAAATTATTATAATGGTTGTAGGTTTCAAAGAATGTCTTTTATCTTTATGTTTTCTACATATCTCAAAAGTGCTAGACAATATAAAATGCCTTCTTATGGTTTTTCTTATTGTAATATGAAAAATTCAAATTATGTATTCATTTGAACATAAAATCTCTATTTGTAAGATTTTGCCAATTGTGACTAGAAGATGAAAGTTTAGCTATGATAAATAACTAAGAAAATCTATTTAAATTTAGCCACTGAGTTAAATTTAACTGAGTTATCTACTTAGCGGCCAATTTTAAAAAGCTAAGGGAAAATATTTTATTGAATTCTCAAATTTTAGATAAATATACCAAATGATGTGTAGGTATTTGTATTTTATATGATTTTCTGATAAATTTTCTCTTACATCGATAAATACTTTTAATAAAAAATACAACACTAACTATTTGTGAAGATTATAAATGAAATGTTATCACCTAGTGTTTGTGATTAAGTGGGCATTCATGCCAGATATAGTGGTAGCCAAGTAATGAGGACTGTTTCCTTTAGGGACGTTGAATCCAATGGACATAAAAATATTTTGGATCTTTATTGTTAGGTTTCATTACTTGGTAAAATTTCATAAAGTAACTATAATTTTTCAAGAAAAGATAGTAGCCTCAATGCTCTATACTACTGACCCCTACAAAAAATTTCAAAATAAATATAAAATTATCTGTACAATCTCATTTTCACCATTAATCAGTAATCTTAGATTAATTTATTTTTTCTCTTTGAATTTTATTTTCTCCTTGTCTAAAATGAGATCCTATTTCCCATCTGTTCATAAACAGGACAGAGGTGGAAATAATTACAAATAATGCCTTTTATAAGATAATCATTGGTGGACTTTACAGAATTGGATAAGGTTTTTCCTGTACTAGTGTATGGATTTCATATCTGATGATACACCAGACAATGTGGCTGCATATCAGAATCATCTGGGGAGATTTTAAAATCTATTCCTCAGCTACAGCCCAAGCTTAATCAATTAGTCTCTTAAGGAGAGGAAACTTTAAGGGATCTCCAATTTAAATAAGCTCTCAGGTGACTTCAGAGCCACACTCAAAAATAAGAACTACTGTCTAGACTGATTTTTCTCAAATTTTAATGTGCATACAAGTCACCTGAGGATTCTCTTCAAATGCAGATTCTGATTCTCTTGGCCCAGATGGAGCTAGGTTCTGTATTTCTAAATCATTCCCAAATGATGCTAATGTTGCTGTTCCATGGAACACACTTGGAGGTGGAAGCTCTGGCCCAAATGAAACTCTTATTGAAATTACTAATATATGACATCAACATTTAATCATAGAGTCATAAAATATTACAGCTGGAAAGGACCTGGACATCAGTCAATCCAGCATCTTTGTTTTATGGATGTGAGAACTGACAGCCACGAGGTTAAGTGACTTCA